TAGGCTCAAAAAACGAGATAAAATTTCGAAAAAAAATGCTTAGCCATAAATTTTGACCCTAAATCAAATGGTGATAATGAAAAATTATTTGGAAAAGTGGAAAGTTGTACATCGCCCAGAGCGATGGTTTTCGAGAAAATTGAAGGCAAAGAGTTTGCTCTGATGGGTTGGTATAAACTTATGAAAGTTATGGCGGTTCAAAAGTAACCAAGTAGTTATCAAATAATTAATTGAACAATCAAAATTTTATGATTTTTAAAATATCATATTGCTTTAAAAGACGAAATAATCCACTAGATTTCTACTTCTGGGACCACTTTGAAAGCTTTGGTTTACTCAGTGCCGATTAATACTGAAGAGCAACTACGGCAACGCATTATTGACTGTTCCAATCAAATTCGGACAAACACCAAGGATATTCCACAGGGTACGCAGATCTTGGAGAAGAGCAGATGTCTGTATTGAAATGAATGGTGGTCACTTTAAACATTTACTATGAATGAATTAAGAAATGCATTATTTTAATAAGGAATTTTGGTAATTGGTTTATTTCGTTTTTAAAGCAATAAGATGTTTTAAAAATCATGAAATTTTGATTTTCCAATTAATTATTTAATAAATACTTGGTTACTTTTGAACCGCCATTTCATAAGTTTACCTATGTTGAGTTACCAACCCATCAGAGCAAACTCTTTGCCTTCAATTTTCTCGAAAACCATCACTCTGGTCGATGTGCAACAAGAATACCTTTTTTGTAGGAAAAAGTATGTAGTTTTCAAAAAATGAACCCACATGTTGCAATGTTGCAAAAAAAATAACCTCAAAAAAGTTATTCACAAAACAACCCCCTACCCTTGCAAAAACTACCCTTTCCACTTTTCCAAATAATTTTTCAGAATCACCATTTGATTTAGGGTCAAAATTTATGGCAGAGCATTTTTTTCGAAATTTTATCTCGTTTTTTAAGCCTACAATTTCAAAACAACCGTTTTTTAAATTCACCCTTTCAGTGCCCCTAACTCCCTTAATATGCATTTTCCGCCCTATACTTATAGGAACTTTTTTTACTATTTTTAGGAGTACTACCACCCCCCGATTTTTTACACCATTTCAAAGACACCCTGTAGAAACGATCTTTATATTTTCATGTTTTTTTTTAATTTTCTCTAAAACGGTATGAAAATTTGGAGAAGTATAAACGGGTTTAACTATTTTAGACCAAGCAAAAAATTTTTATGAAGAATACATTTTTCTCAAAATGTCAATAACAAAATAGTCTTTCCTCTTGTAAAGACAATCCGAGGACATACTGTATTTTAAAATGAATTTATGTTGCCTCTCTTTTTGCAGAGACGTAATTTTACGTAATTTATTACAATGTAACAAATGCCAAAAACGCACACCTTATTTTCATGTATTTTAAAATTCAATATTTTTGTTTTAGTGGTTAAAATCCTTATCTGTCTATTACACGAGGAAAAACAAAATGTAATTTGGGTGTAAGTTTAAAACACCCTGTGGAATGGTTTAACAAAGTAAAGGATTGAAAAACTACTTTATCAAGGTGCATCTGCATCTTGTCTGGATAATTTTTGTTTCATCTCAAACTTTTTTTGTTAGAGATGAGGTATTCGCTTTTAAAGAAGACTATTAGAGTATTAGTATCTTTGAATAAGAAGACTAAGGAAGGAGCATATCAAAAATCTTAGGTACACCGCGATGGGCCTCAAATATGGCCGACTTAAATTCCGGTTTATCAGTGTCGTTCTAATTTTATTTAAAAAATGTAAAACTATGATGTAGAGTAGACGTGGGGTAGACTCAATAATTTGTTGTTTTATTTTACGTTGTGAATAAATGTTGGTAGTTATTAAAATTGTTATAAAAATATATAATTCTAATAAAAACAGATAAGTTATAATAAGTATTTATTAACATAAACATCCGATACGCTACTGAAGCAGGTAAGTCAAATTAACGTATCTAAATTCTTTGACATCTAATCTTTGACAAGTAATAAATAAAAGCTAAAATGCAAGAAAAATATATAATTTAGTTAATTTAAGTGAATTTCATAAATGATCGGTTTACTACACGTATGTATATTATATAGTCACTTACTAGCGAAAAGTTGTTCCATTATTTCACTCAGTTTTTGCCGAGATCTACCGTACGCTACACAACCATTTATTTTAGTCTTTTTCAATAAATCGCGATAGTGTCACTGTTAATTTAAGTTCTGCCACAATTTCCATCTAGATTTACTACCTTTATACAACTATCAGTAGTAGAATAAATAATAAATAACATAAAATAAGCTCCGTAAAGACTGACAAATCCACAAAATTTCAAATCAAATTCAAATGTGTCAAATGAATCGTCAAACAGAACTGTCAAGGATCCCCACCCTAGAGAGCTTTTATGGTGCCTTTTCCGCCCACCATGCATGAATACATGGATAGCATTATGCTCCTTCCTTAGTCTTCTTATTCAAAGATTAGTATTAGTATACACTGTCATTGAAAAGGCATATTATTATTGTTTGTTGGCAGTTCTTTTTAGTAAGCAGAGATTTTAGTCTAGAAGTTTATCTCTATTATATTCATTTAATTTTTTTAAAAAGAACATTACTGTTACAGAAAAATGTATTTGAAACTTAAAGAACTCCTTAAAATAAAGCAAATTGTTAATTTTGAGTAACTTATATGAATTAGTCAGTAGCGTAGCAAGGCGGGGCGGAGGGGGCGGGACACTCCGAGCAGTGACACTCCAAGTATCTGCGGGGCGACAAAAAATTGTTATAAAGGCGGCGAACGGATTCTATAGGGGCGGCAAATCTCCTCCTAGAGGCTCTCCTCCCCGGGCGCCTCTAACCAACGCTACGCCACTGGAATTAGTTTTTGAGTTGTGAGAGGTACAAAAATAGAGAGATCCCGGTCCTGGAGAAATAAACATTACAATCACATTAGGGTATTTTTGACAGATCTCTGTAGAAGGAAGTCATAATAAATTTGTCATATTGTCACATTATGTCACAATATGACAAATTTATTATGACTTCCTTCTACAGAGATCTGTCAAAAATACTCTAATATACAGGGTGGTCCAAATTGTATTCCGGAAACTTCGGCAGCATATTCTGCTGATAAAAATACGTAAAAAAGTTCGTATAAATGTATGTCCATGTCCTAAAATGCTTAGTTTCAGAGATATAGGGTGTAGAAGTTTCAATTTTATTTCGATTTTTTCCAAATTATTTCTGAACTAACGTGACTATTTGGATGAAAATTGGTGTCTGGGAGTTTTTTGACATAAGAAATTTGATTTTGATGTCAATATGACTCCTACTTGTAGCGGGCGCTACCTACATGTCTTTTAATTGTTTTGAACAGTAATAACTTTTCGTCCGTACCTGTATAAAACTACTGAGTGAAAAAATATACATTTCCGTAATGTTTTACGTAAAAAATGTTTCTTGGTAAAAATCGCTACGAACAACCTTGCTCAAGATATTTGGAATAGAAATAGTCAATGCATGTCATTATTGACAAAAAATAAACATATGTTGAGTAGATAGTTATGTAATTTAAATGATAAATTTGGGAACTTTTTATATTTTTAAATTAATCATAAATTTTTCTTTGAAAAAATGACGATAAAACAGTTTCTGTTGAACTTTTGACACAAAAACATATCAAATTTATGATTTCAGTCTAATAACTATTTAGTCAACATGTTTAATTTACGTCAATGATGACAGGTATTGATAATTTCGATTCCAAATATCTCGAGAACCATTACTAGTAGCGATTTTTACCAAGAGACCTTTTTTACGTAGAAAACGTCGTAAATGTACATATTTATACTCGGTAGTTTTATACAGGTACCGACGAAAAGTTATTACTCTTTAAAACAATTAAAACATATGTAGATGGCGCCCTCTACAAGTAGGAGTCATATTGACATCAAAATCAAATTTCTCATGTCAAAAACTCTCTCCCAAACACCTATTTTCATCCAAATAGTGACGTTACATCAGAAATTATTTGGAAAATATCGAAATAAAAATGAAACTTCTATACACCCTGTATCTCCAAAACTAAGCATTTAGGACATACATTTATACGAACTTTTTTACTTGTTTTTATCTGCAGAATATGCTGCCGAAGTTTCCGGAATACAGTTCGGACCACCCTGTATATTCTCTATGAAAAGATGAAAAGTTACAAAAAGTACACTGTAAACCTAATAGAATTTTTAAAAAATCTTAATGTATTTCGTAGATAAGTAAACACACTGCTTCAAAAGAAAATTTATTTATTAAACACTAAACAATTCACAAAATTAAGTTGTTGTTAATTATAAAATGGACATAATTTGCCCTACGTTCTTCACCCCCGTCCAATAATTGTTGGTGTTCGGAATATTTAAATATCTCCAAATTATGCTTCTTCAAAATTGGCCAAGCCATGGTATGAATTCTTTTTTTTTTTCAAATAGGCCATAAATAGGCCAGAACAGTTATTGTTATATTATGTATCTTTAATAACTGTTCTGGCCTATTTGGAAAATGAACAGGAAATAAATCCTTATAACCTGTAGATTATATCCTCCATAATACCACTAAAGTATTTTTTTTCTTCAGTTGTTTAATTCATATTTACAAATTATTTTTGGCACGTATAAAGTCAATTTGACATTAAGAAAATTAGTTTTCATAAATTATTTTTGGCAACAATAACGTCAATTTGTCATTAAAAATTGAATTTGAAATGCTTGTTATTTAGAATTTTTTTATCTTTCATAAAAAATGAATGTTTGCTTCATTTTAAGGAATTCTTTAAAAAGTTTCAAATAATTTCTTTAAAGTTACATGGAATTTCCTACAACTTACAGGTTGGCGATGCAACAGGGTGTATAATGGAAAACTATGTGGTACAAAGAAATGACGAAAAGAAAATTATTAGTACAAATAAATTACATGACATTTTTCTTTTCAGATCATTACCTGTTCCTAGGCGGCATACACCGTATTTCGGACAGCCAGATTATAGAATATACGAATTAAACAAGAGACTACAACAAAGGACGGAGGTAAGGATAGTAAGTTTTATGATTTTATGATTTTTTTATTAGTTTTATTAAATTCTATATTGGAAGTGAAACAACGTGCTTTGTGGAATTCTATCGGTTGTCTTGGATTAAATATACCTAGAAAAGATTCAGAAAATCTGGGTAAAAACGACTGCCAGACAAAAGAAACCATGGTTTGTCAAGATGCCACGAATGATGCCACGTGATTTTGCCTGAATACCGAATACTTGGTCACACACTCGGCCGAATATTCGGCGATGGCCGAAACCTAACCAAAATCATATGTTTTTATGCCATCGCAAATCGTAAATACAGACGAAGAAAAAAGCCTTTTTCGAAAACTGACAAATTTTATTAGGAAAAGCGTAATCGCTTTTTTCCTGGAAAGGCAGAAAAACTTGTTTTTGAAGTGAAACTTCTTTACGCGCAATGAGTGTAAAATTTGAAAGCCGTGACACGGCCATGACACACGAGACGCGAAAGGAAAAGTGGTAACGATCTTGTAGCGTCGTAACTCGGGCCCTATGTGACCTAGGGGGCCGAAACTCGGAATGTAGATGGGGCTCGAAATGTCCCATCTATTCATATTTTGACGACGTTTCGTGCACTTCGAAACCCCATCATCAATGAATCAAATAAAAAAATCGTCCGATTTAAATGAAATTTGGTATATCGATTGATTGGTCCAATGCCAACTTGACCGTGTCCGACACGTGTTCCTGTGACAGTTCAATTTTGACGTAAGAAACGTCAAAAGTTGATGTCGTCCGTTCGCAACCAAATTTGGGGGGTAGGCTATGTGAGCGACGATGCACATGGTATCCCACCCTGCAAAGTTGGATATGACGTTTCGTTTACATCTTTATCAGGGTGGGACTACGTCAAAAGAAGAAGTCGTCTACTCATCACGGGGGTTTATATCTACTCAATTTTTGATGTTGTTTGTCGTTTACTCATCACTGGGATCTATCTATATCTTCCCTGTGACACAGAAGAAGGTTATTTCTTCTTCTGTGCCCTCTGAAATATTTAGCATTTTTTGTTGGTTATACAATTTTGATTGCAAGTAAAAAGACATTGACAAGCTGAAGAAACCTTTTTTATTTTTGTTTCAGTGGCAAAATCCCTAGATTTTGTTCAAGACTTAGAATGCTATTATGGTGTAGTGTTCTTTATCTTTTAGAATATTTAATCTAAGATCTAGTTAAAAAAATTATAAGTAAATTTCGGCAGTAGAATTCCACAAAACCGTTGTCATTTTGTAAGCTGTTGTAAGGAATCTGTACTCTGTTAATGTAGTAATCTACTAATGAATATCACTTTCTTAATATTTTATTAAATTTTTTAACTTATTTTAATATATTCGTTGGATATATTTTTTTATAAATATAATTTTATTATCCATAACACAGAGTACATAATTTCTTAACGATTCACTTTGGCAAGTATAAAGCTCTGTTATAGAATTCTACAGAATCTACAGTAGCATTTTAGATTTCACAGATTACTTATTTCTATGAACTTGGTACTATAATTTTGGTGAAATTCAAAATATTAATTAAATTTTAGAATTTATAACGAGTTTTTACTAATTTCCCTTAAGAAATCACTATTAATATTTAATGGCACTACTCTCTAAAATATAAGTATCGTACATGGTCATTAATATGAAACTTATAATTAAATTAACGAATTAAAATGAGTAATTAACATGTTAACTGACAATTATTGAAGTTCCAGTTAAATATATTATAGGTTGAAACTGCGACCACAAGGGCCTATTGTTGCTTTAGTTTCATGGTACTACTTATGAATATTTAGTTTTTGAAAAAGAAAATGGTTAATTTATACTTAAAATAAATTCATGTAATATTTCTAATTTTAGGACAGTGATAATCTTTGGTGGGATGCATTTGCCACCGAATTTTTTGAAGACGATGCCTCATTGACATTAGCTTTTGTTTAGAAGATGGTCCAAAACGATATAGTAAGTTCGGAGATTTAAAATTGCCCGGTTTAGACCTTACGTTTTGCATGTCAGTTGAAACCGGAAGTAACATAATCGCCTAGAGAACTGACGACAGTTCTTGGTATTTAATTCAGTTCTAGTAAAACGTCAGTCTTTTTGTCTACTCATAATGTTTTACTTGATACAGTTTTGGCTAAACAAGTAAGACGTAAGGTAAAACGTTATGTCTAGACCGGACTTTACGCGTATATTACAATTTTAAAGTAGGCTATGGCCGTTATGGTAAAATAATGTTGCGTCTGCGTCTTAAGCTTCATTCAGAACCTCGAAATCAGTAGAATAAATTAGTAGTTTCAATTAGCCGTAGAAGTTTGTTCACCTAATTTTAATGTAAGCATTCAGAACGCAATAAGAATATTATTTATTATAATAAATTAGTAATAGTAATTTTCAATTAGTGGAAAAAGTTAACAAACTTTTGACTTTAATTATACCTCAAAATTTGCGAGGAATGTCATTTTGGCTTTTGATTATCACCCGTCAAGAAAAATTTTGGTTAGAAATCAAAAGTTTATTGTTTTATAAACTAAATAGTATGCTTTCTCTATGGATACAACAGACTAACACAAGCTGTTGCTAGGATATTTTATTAATTTTAATTGTATTTTTTAGACATTGTGAATGATCGTAAACTAGAAAGTATAAAGTGGAATTGAAACCCCTAATTTATTCCACTAATTGGGAGGTTCTGAATGAAGCTTTAAGCTCATCATCACTCACCGGCACGAAAAACGGACACCTTAACATTTTGGTGTACATACTTTAAGTTTAATATGTTTTCTTCTGGTTGGCCGATTTTGATGATTTTTTAGGCGATTTGTAGCTAAATTATTTGACTCTTTAGTATATATTTCTAAATTAAAAATGAAAGTTGTCAATCTGCCATCTGTCAATTACACGAGGGGAAACAAAATTTTGATATTTTGGTTAAAGTTTGAAACACTCTGTGGAATACGTTAACAAAACAGGGAATTTAAAAATAGTTTTATCATCTAGGTACATCTTTTCTTGATGGTTTGCTTTTTGGTTCATCTCAATAACTTTATTGTTGTTGGAGATAGTCGCTTTTGAAGAAGTCACTAGCAATTTTTTGTAATTTTTATTCTGATAATAAAATTTTTCGGAGTTACCGATTAAATGAAGGAAGAAACAATAGTATATTGTTTTATTAGGAGTCAAAATTATATTTTTGTGGCGAAGCTGTACCTACGTTTGACATTACAGGCGAGGCACAAAAATTAATTTTTAAACAATTTTAAATAATTAATAATTTCAATAATATTAAAAAAAAATATTTAAAAGTAATACCCTGTCAATAATTATATATCGATAAACTATGGTTACGCTCGTTGAATTTGACACCTTATGTCAGTTTAATAATATATTTTCGTACTTTCCTTTAATTTAGAAAGAGATACTAAAAAGTCAAATAATTTAGCTACAAATTACTTAAAAATTCATCAAAATCAGTCCACTAGAACACAATATACATATTGTTGCGAGCCGGTGTGGACTCGACCTAACCTCACAATATGGCCCGCCCTCGGATGACCTTAACATCGCATAGACACCGCAATGATTCATTCGTTCGAGAAGAATCGAGACCCACTAGAATGGACTCGTACATACGAGAACATTAGAATGACATATCATATGCCAACTTTTGGTGTTTTTGTTTAAAAAAATCGTATTTTAAATTTCAATCTAGAGGCTGTGTTAAAAACACTAATTTCTAATCAAGGGGCCTTGGAAAAATAGATCAGTCTAATGGTTTTTGCATGTCTTGTCCTGGCCGGTTAAATCATATCTCAATTTTTTCAAATGGAACGAGGGTGGCTCATTAGCATATTTGGAAAAAGCATTTTTTTACGAATAATTTGGTACCACACACTTCAGGATTTCGAGTGAAATTGTCGTTATGAACCGCATACAACAATTTCAAATAAACCATATATGCGATAATGTCAACAGTTGACATATCATATGTCATTCTATTCAGAGTGTCATTTTCTTTTGAATAAAGTAAAAAAAAATACGGAGGGTGCCATTTAAAAGTCAAAAGTTGTTGTCATTTCCGGTGAAACCGGAAGTAACCAAAAGCAATTGAATACGTCAATCAATTCTAATTTATGTCATATACTAATATACCAAATCTTGTTTTTTTCTCCGAAAAAATACAAAAGTTATAGGGGTGAGCCATTTTCGAGACGCACCCGGTATATCAAAATTTTAAGGTGCCCGTTTTTCGTGCTGGTGAATTTGTATCAATCTATACAGAAGTAAATTTTAAACCACAATGGTCGGTCTTTAATAAGGGAAAAACTTTGCACCAATGTACCCCAAAAAATAGGACACACTGTACATCTAACTAATTAAAATTATAATTTACATAGTACCTATTAGGTATAATAATTTAGTTGTATGTTTCCGAAACTATTAGCAAATGCTTTAATTTTAATTGTTATGACTATTTATTGACTGTTTAATAGTTTTTAACGAATATACCCTTAATGTACCGTAAAATTACAAGTTTAATTAATGCAAAAAAGTTATTTTTCTGTAATGTCAATTGAAAGACACTTAACACAGGTTGTTTTGTGGTATGTAATAGGGTTAATTTAGGAATTAACTACATTAAAGTTGTTAACGTTTTTGCAGCGATCGGGAGGACGTTAATTCCGAGGTACTTCCGAAGTATATTTGAAGGTGGAGTGACAGAGCTGTATTATAATATGAAGCATCCCAAAGAGTCCTTCCACAACACTAGTATTACTCTAGACTGTGATCAGTGCACTATGGTAACGCACCATGGGAAACCTTTGTTTACCAAGGTAAGATATTTTTAAATATTTAAAAAACCGTTAAATATTATTTATATGGTATATTGTTTTAATTTTGCACAAGAATAAATAAAACAAGATATTTTATTAATAGTATTACACACACTGAATTTTATACTTTTTTTCCATAACAACAGGCGGTTCTCTGCCGGCAATACTGAGGCCTGTGAAGCCTATTGTTGTCCCCTTTCTATATCTGCACCCATTCTTCTATCCCTGTGCCCTGCACTAACTTATGCAGGTCCTTGATAGGATGGGAGCATAGTTCCTCCGGTTCTTTCCTAGCTTTCCCAAATAAAAAGTGTCGCTTACGATCCAGAGCCTCGCAATGACATATTATGTGCTCCGCTGTTTCAGGATCTTTATCGCAGAGTCGGCAGCAAAGACTTCCTTGATATAGTCTATAAAATGAATAACTTTGAATTTTGTCCGTTATTTTTTACCAACATTGCAAATATAAAATCCCTCTATCAAAAAAGTTACTGATATTCTTTTAATTAAGTGCCTGAACGAATCAGATACGTAACTCTTTTTACTTTCGTGAAATAGAAAAGGAAAATAATAAAACAAGTAACAGTTCTTCCTCTTCTTGCAGAAATCATCACGAAATGTCATAATTGTCAAAAGTAAAATGTCATCAGTTTTTGAGATTTCTAAATATCAGACCAATGCCGTCTCTAATAGAACAGCCTCGGAGCGAGATTTATGACGTCACGCTAGTTAGATACTACGGCTTAATAAATATGTTGTAGAATACATGGAAAACATAATTATTCCTCGTATTTTTGGGTTGTATTTTAAGAATAATAATAATAATATTTATATGTAATAATTTTCATATAAAATTACAGCGATCTTTATTTCATAGCCATCCCTGACGCCTTTTTCCTATATATATATATATATATATATATATATATATATATATATATATATATATATATATATATATATATATATATATATATATATATATATATATATATATATATTCCATATATATATATATTCCATATATATATATATATATATATATATATATATATAGGAGCGAGATTTACGACGTCACGCTAGTTAGATACTACGGATTAATAAATATGTTGTAGAAAACATGGAAAACACAATTCTTCCTCGTATTTTGTATTTTAAAAATGATATAGTCTACGATGAGACTATATCATTTTTTAAATATTTCTACCAACATATTTATAATCCGTAGTATCTAACTAGCGTGACGTCGTAAATCTCGCCTGAGGCTGTTCTATTTGAGACGGCATTGCGTCAGCATAGCCGCAAGTTGCTAACCTAATAAAATTAACACTAGAAAAGCCCGCGGGAACTGTCAAATTCAAAGTTATTCGTTTCACAGACTATACCTACAGGTTGAGCTTGTTCAGGTAACACTTGACAGCCATGTGTCCTGTCAAGAGGCCTGTTGTAATCCGCACTCATAGATAAATGCAACAAGTTTAGATTGGAAAGCCCGTAAAAATTTTAGGTCGCGAAATTATTTTGGGTCGCGACCGTTATACGCGATCTGGCGCTGCTATAGCGGTCGCTAAGAACAACGGCAAACAAAAACAGAAATAATTTTCTCTTGTCAAAGTCAGAATCTTCAAAAATCATAATAATCTTTCAAAATCTAAACCGCTCTCATTAAAGAAATTCCGAAAAGTGTTTATATAACGTCCATTTTCAAAGTAATTATTGCTATCTTGTGAGTTTAATTCAAGTTTTATTTACTCCAACCGGTGATAATTGTGAAAAAGTGGCATTAAAAACTTAAAAAGCTGTGCTGTGAACTGTGAACTGCAAAAACCATCGTGGATCGTGGCATAACATCGATTTCCAATGTTTCATAGGTATTTCATACATGCGTCCTTATATAAAATAAAGTTTCTTGTATGCAACACACTGTATTTTATTTATAAAATTAAACGAAAATAATAATAAATTTGAATAAACAATATTTGGCGATATAATTCCGAAAAAAGCCGAACCGCTCCGAAATTTTCAAAAGTTTTGGGTCGCGACCGTTGCAAGAATAGCGCCAAATAGTGTTTACATTGTCCTTATGGGCACTTTCCAATCTAAACTTGTTTCATTTATCTATGTCCGCACTTTATTCCTGCTAAGCATTAGCAGTTCTTTTGCGGTATTAGAGCTAGGTCCTTAGATAAAAGCCTTGCTGTGCCTGTGCCCCTGTCTGTTTCTCCAATGGACATTCTGCTTTTCCCTGATCCAGAGTTTTAGTGCACTACGGGCCATACATTTCGGTATTCCCAGTACTGGCTCTGGACCAAGATAGGATGCCGATGATCCTTGCCTAGCTAGCTCATCGGCTTTTTCGTTGCCTTGGATGTCGCTGTGGCCCGGCACCCAGAATAATTTAATTCTGTTCCTTCGTGCCAGAGCTCCCAGTTCTCCTAGGCATTCCCAGACGAGTCTCGACGATACCTTTGGGCTCATAAGCGCCCCAAGTGCCGCCTAACTGTCTTAGCATATATTGATGAGCTTACCTGAATAAGCTCTATTGTTTTCTCTCGCACATTGTAGAATGGCGAAGATTTCTGTCTAGAATACTGTTGAGTGTTTACCCAAGGAAAAGCTTACTCTTGGTCTTTCCCCAAATATACTTCAGCTCCTGTTCCTTCAGCGGTCTCTGACCCGTCTGTATACCAGGTTAGTCTATCCTGAAGGAATGTTATATCTGGCCACATTCCTCGATCTATTTTGTTCACCTCGAATGGTTTCTGGTAGAATTTTATATCTTGAAAGATGGTTAATTGACTTTAATCCTCTTTTTTAAACCAGTAGGTACCTCTTTGCCTTATTTCTCTACAGTATTAAAAGTTATTATTATTTATTTACCTATCATACGATGTCTTAAATATAGAATGCCATTAATAAACCAGAATTCAAATCGGCCATATTAAACCCCCTTCGCGGTTACACTACCTTTATTCTTTGTTGATATACAAGGAGAGTTTTCTATGATGTTCTCTATGGATATTCTCTATCTCGGTTCAATGGGGAAAGAATTGCAGTTTTGTAGGGTTATAAATATGCGCCTTTCAGATTTTTGAAAAAGTTCATGGCTTACTAGATATTTCGAAAAAAACAAATTTCGGCTATTTTAAAAATGGCCCCTAATTCCATTATAATCTATTTTAAACAAAAAGTTTTCAGATAAAAGTTATAATGATATGAGACTGTGTCCTCACACTTGACGCCCACCCCAAGAATGAAATATATTTTTTTTAATTTTAAAAATTATTTTAACATTATATCATAATTATGCAAATAGGAATAGGAAGAGGTGGACCAATTGCATGGGCCTCCTCGATCACCTGACTTATCCATTATAGATTTTTTTTATGCGGTATGGTTAACAACAATGTTTACAAAAGAAGTTATGAATTAAGAGAGGCACACGAAGAGGCGGTACGGGAGAAGTTTAATTCAAAAATTAAAGTCGACCGGTCGTTCTGTAAGAATAGCTAGTAATTCAGTTTTAAAAAGATGCATTTATGTATGCAAAACATTGGCGGATTTTTTGAACATTCTCTAAAATAACTTAAATTGTATGTAGTGATATTATTGTTTTAAGTTTTATATAGTTTGTGTATTGTAAATTGTAAAGAATCGTTTAATAATATATTCTATCTTTTTATAAGTTATAAATCATAACAAAATAAGAATACCATACCAACTAAGTGAAATTAGTCAAGAAAGATAAGAATCGGCTATAACTCAGTAATTTTTCAAAAGAAAAACATATTAGGTATAAGTAGCTTATATCCCTGAAAAGCTTAAATATTGCGCTTTTTATGAAGTCATAGATTATAATGGAATTAGGGACAGTTTTTTAAAATAGCCAAAATTATTTTTTTCAGATATTTAGTAAGCCATAGACTTTTTCAAAAATCTGAAAGGCGCATTTTTATGACTCCACGAAACTGCAATTCTTTCCCCATTTTACCGACTTTCTATATCTAGTAGTTTTCAAAATACCCGTAGAGAACATCGTAGGAAACTCACCCTGTATATGTAGATAGATAGATAGATACTCGATATTAAATTCAATTAAGATAAAGTATATGATTTCTCAGTTAATTACATTGAATTATTTATTGCCCAAAAAAGGAACAATTTACAGGTAAACAAGTGATGTAATATATTCGTGATGATTGAATTGATATCAAAATTCCATTAATATATTGATTGATAATGTCCGATCAGTAAGTCAGTAAGTGCAAATAATACAGGACATAAAAAATAAAATTTATAATAGAATCACCCAGATCTGTCTTCGCTTCTTCACTGAATAAAAGAAAAGGGCAAGGTCGACTATAAGGGCCAGACGAGTGAAAGACAGGATCGGTATTTCACCTTGGAGCCCCCAGGAATTCCGCTGTATATAGTCGGAGGATTTAGACAGAGACAAAAGGAAAGCTGCCCTACCGGAAATAGTTATAGGGTTATACTGTATAACTGACAGGTTTCAAGATTTAGCTACTTTAAAACGAATATTATTCATTGGGTTTTATCTAAGTTTAACCGCATTCCAGACTCTCAAAAATCACCAAGCACTGTGAAATAAATATATCCTATTTTTAATAAATATTTTACTCCAAAAAAAGATACCCTAACAGAATAAAAAAAAGTTTTAAACATCTTTTACAAAAGAGATATAAAAGCTTTTTTGGCCAAGCGTTTACTACCATAGTAATGGGCAGTAACCGGTTAAACACCCCTCGTAAATTTCAATCATCTGATATAAATTTATTGCCCAACAGACGGGATGGTTTAAAATGGATGTAGCAGTTAATCGCCGGCAAAAAAGTAACCATTACGATTTAAAATTTACAAACTTTGATATGCAAACTTGTGTAACGAATGGATTGGTTTTTGAAAAATAAGAATAAACATTATTTATATATTGATATATGTATGGGGGGGTATTAATTCAGTTCTAGAGTATTTTATTT